TCCGGGTCACCCCTAACTGCCCTCCCCTGCTGGTCTGATTGCCCACAACTGCCCTCCCCTGCCAGCCATCTTGTGGTGGCCTCTTTTGCCCACATGGGAGCAGCCATCTTGTGTGAGGGTGTGATGGTCAATTTGCATATTATCTATTATACAGGATTACACTTTCTTAGTTTCTTATGTTTTCAGTGGAGTATCTCTTTCATAAGGTCATATTTATAGAATATGAACCCAGCTGCTTATTGTTTAAGGAAGGCAGTGGAATCCAACGTTCAGGGGAAAACTTATCTCTTCATTTGCCTCAAGACTGCATAAAATAGGAATGTCAAGCTGATTCAGATAATAAGTTTGTTTTTTCTTTGTTTTTGCCTTAAATGGAAATGTTTGTTCAAGGAATCGAATTATGTTTCCTCCTTGTGAAAAATGGATTTAAAAAAGGTAATGGGTCACAGCACATGTCGTCTCTCAAGTGAAATTGACCCAAGTAAATGTTGTCAGAAAAGGTTCAAGAATAAAAGTTTAAATCCCCAATTTCAGTCTACTCTAGCTATGAATCAAAAGAATTTGCCTTTTTTTTTCTGGTTTGGGCTCACTCATGAATAGAAGGGGGATTTCTTCAAGGCCAAACGCAGTGTATACAGATGTCAGCGTTCAGTTATTCTGTCCCAGGTGGCAATGTCATCATGACCTATGAACCCTGAAAATTTTCAAATGAATATCAGGGTGACTTAGGACTTAGACTGGATTGCACTTTCAGGGACTGGACTGACATGATCTCTCTCCTTTCCCTCTCTGCCCCTATCCTTCCTGGTTTTAACAGCACCCGCAAACAAAATTACATGATGAATTTTTCACGACAGCATGGGCTCAGGCACTTCTACAACAGAAGACGAAGGTCACTTAGACGAAACCCATGAAGAATCAAAACGTTTCTTTTTCCTGCCAACATGTGATGTGTTGCTTTTCATTCTTTTAAACCTCTCACTGCATCTGAGATCAGGAAACTCCTGTGAAGGACTTGGGGATTTCCCTGACAGCCCTTCTCCAGACCGAGTGCCCACCACTGTCCCACACTGTGAACTAATGCTAAGTGACTTACTTTCTCATGAGTAAATGTCTTCATGTTGACGTGTCCGTGAAAATTGTGATCTGTCGTAATATCAGTTACAGTGGCAGTATTGGAAATAAGAAATAGTTTAACAGAAAAAAAAAAGTTTAAGCACAAAAATTTAAGAGATTTTTTTTATGTTCAAAATGGCATTTAACATTCTTGGTCACAGAGCTATTTAAGTGGACTGTATTTCAGCTACGTATCATGTTTTATATGATTAAATGATCATGAGTCCTTTTATGTATTCTCTTTTACTATATAACATTGACACTGTATTTACTTGTTATGTTGCAATATTTTGCTGCTGAATTTCGGGCTACTTATATTCTGCAGAAAACTCTTTGACATACCTACTCAAGAAGATAGTTGTAAAGATATTGTATA